AATTCTTCTGTAATTAAAAACACGAATGTACATTCGGCGAGTTTTTCATTTGGGTGAGTTAAATGTTATTGTTAATTAAATTAATTAAATAATTAATTGATTAAATAAGTTATTTTGGCAATAACTTAATTAGTATTAATTTATAGCTAATAATTATTATATGTTTTGTTTTGTAATTTGTTATTCATATTGTTTATTTTAATTATTAAAATGTTTTCTAACTAATTTGCTTTCAGTGATACTGACTGGCGAAGCAAGTTTACTCATTACACCACACTTTCACTTCCAACACATAAAAATTATAAAAATTCTGTACGGCAAATTATTCTTATGGACCCCCCAATTTCGGCGAGCTAGTCACATTTCGTTAAGAGCCCTTTAAGTATGCTACAGATCTTAAAACACAATAAAAAAATGAGACACAAAATATCTATTGAAATATTTTTATACATTTCTCTCTCTCCCTCTCACTTTTGCCAAAAAGCGAACAACGGCCAGTGAAAATTGTTGCCTTGTAATTTCTTAACCCTAGGAATTGTTTATCTATGTGAAAATATAACTTTTCCCTTCACGTTCAGGCGTTTAATGCACACACAGCTGAAAGCTGAATTGACCGCTTTGGCATGCATGCACTTTATCCACGTAACGATCCCCTGTTATGCAATATGTGTCTATTTACTTTTTGTATCAAAGGCGCATGGGTGATATTTTAATATTAAAGAGTTGCTTCCCCTTTGATAGTGGAAACGTTAACTTTTAAGTTTCGGAAGTTACAGCGCTTTAGATACTTGATTTGTGTGTACTACTAGAACAACTGAGGGCCAATCACGTAACTAAAGATTAGCTATCACTTTCGCATTAAGCTCTTCAGCAAAACAGCTGAAAACGAAAGCGGGAGCTGAATTTGTAGGCACAATCACCATTAGTGAAATATATTTGAAAGTAAGAATCAATCTAAACGCTAAGATAGTCTTTTTGCTGGACTTAAGATGTTAGAAGTTTTAAAAATACACTTTCAAAATCAAAAATTTGGTACTTTTGGAGTCCAGCCCGGGATAATTTAAAAAACAACCAAATCTCTTATTACGCGAACCTTTCCTAATCAACCGACTTTAACTTTTCATGGCTGTGCCCCTCATTTTCAAATTTAGAAGCAATCACGCTAAGTAGTTTACTATTTCACTTTCTGCGCCGTAATAATTACTAAAATCGTTGTGAGAAGATTCAATTCTGATAAAAAGAAAACCTTTAAAAACATTAGAGTCGAGCAGCGCGATCCTACACCACTACACTTTCAAGGCAAAGGCGTTCTCTTCGTGATAGCCCTTACACACAAGAGAACCCAAATAATGGAGTGACGTGATCGAAATTTATCAAAAGTTATCTTTTTGCCAACAATCATATTATTATTCACTTGTTTCGATCATAACGATGGGGACTTTTGGATGGTACCCCCGTATATGATGATGACGGTACTGGTGCAAGGGAAATCTTAATTCTTTATTATTCTTTCTTATTCTTACTCTTAATGATTAACGACACTTTCACCTATATATACTTGGTTAAAAATTGAGACGGCGGTTTCGGTTTTTCACCTTATGGGAAACGATCGTAACCCACATTTTGAAGGCCTAGGTAAAGTTAGCAAATCAAGTAAATTCGAGAAATTCGAAAGTCTTCTGGGAAAAGTGATTTTCATTTTTATAGCAATTAATTAAGTTTTATGTATATCTTGTTTCGTAAAATTTGTCTACTTGCCATCACCTTCCCCTTCTATTTTTTTCTTTTTTTCACGTGTGTTCTTTTCTACCAAATCCAACAATGGAACTAATCGCTATAAAATAACAAAATAATACTGGTTGCAGACGCATTAGAACAATTTCAAGTTTGACGACTTGTCGTATATATGGTGCTATATTGGATAATACAACAACTGTTGATTTGGACTATTTGCGACCCTATACCAGTGGTAACCACTAGTAGCATTAATCAGTGTTTTGATACATGTTTTCTTCAAATTTTAGAATAATAAAAGTGTTTTGCCCCCCATACGCGTAAGAAATCAACCCTTTTTTTGGCATCTCTGATAAATATTTCTGGGCGTTACAAATAGAAGAACAACTCTAACATATGCTTATCTATTTTGGATTTTTTCTAATCATCCTAACTAGAATTACTTTTGCTAGTATTGTAAAAATTACTTAAATATCTACCTATGTCTTATATATTTAAGTTCGAAAAGGCTTAGTTGATCTAAATATATTTTTTTTATTTTAGACAAATAGTTTCTTTCTTTTTCCTTTTGTTTCTTGCTAAAAAGAAGAAGCGCTCCATTTAATATTCGTGCATTTTGCTCAAATCAAAATTTTTCAATTATTTTATGAATAATAGAAGATGTGTGAAAAAAGTTCGGCTTTCAGTTGAAGCGATAGCGATTGCACATCATATGTGATCATCGATGTAATGGAAGGAATTTTATATTTTACTTATCAACACTCATGATAAACAAAAGCAAAGAAAACAAAAAAGAAAAGAAAAGCAATAATAATCATCCCACTCAAAGATAAATGCGATTTAAATAAATTAGAAAATGGAGAATTTTGCGATTTTGAAATTATTTATAGAGACGATTAGCTTCTAGCTGAAAAGTTGAAAGTATAGTCCGTCGTCAGTTATGATTTCTTTCATTTCGATCCATGACAAATAATGGCTAAGAAAGCTCATGTCTTTCCGATGCTTTGCCTTGCCTTGTCAAGCTTAGCTAGTTATAAAGAGGCACAGTGTTAGGCCCTTGCAGTACATGAATCTACTAATTTTTTTGCAAGACTAGGTCACATTAAGCGCGGCATGGGTTTGTTTATCTATGTGTTTTTTATTGCACGAACCCAAGACATGTTAACGAAGTTTGATACCCGCTGCTGATATGCTTCAGCCTAAGCTCGAAATCTTTTGGAAGTTCATTCGCATTCACTAGAATGCGGCCACTCCCCAACACCTTTTATCTTTTACGAATTGTTTCTAATTTTCAACGCGATACACGCATAGAGCACATCCCATAACGGATCATTTTTTGCGACCCTGCCCCATACAATCTCCAAAAAGTCATTGCTAAGAGTAACTAGCACCAGAAGTAGAGAATATCGAAAAATTGAATTTCGGCCAAGAAAAGTGGTATTACGGACTACAGTATATTGACAAGGATGGACGATGCCCTAATGAATCAACAATAATGCCCGCCTTTTAAGTGAGCGAAATGCTCATGGAACTGGACAATGTAGTTTTTGGAACAAATACTGTTTACTCCATTTTTACGATAAAAATAAATTATTTTCTGTCGAATGATGCAATGATGCAAGATAGGAATGAATATACGTTAAAGTTCTCGCCTTCAAGTATGAAATGCGGTAGAGTTCTCTTTGGTCGTAGCTAGTGTGAGTGTTTAGTAGGTAAAGACATAACACTCCTCGATCGAGCACGTACCCACTAGGCTGCGGCCACCATCTCTCGTTTCCAATTTCTTTTCTCTCTTCCTTTTGACGGTCGCCGTGTCAAACAAATTGGGTAATAGACATCCCCTGAGTGATCGATATTCTTATAACTAAGAAGAAGAAAACAGTAATCGTAAGAAAGCGATATTCGACGTTTATTTATTTTCGATAACTCACCATAAAATATCCCTTTTTTGGATGCATTTTTACATTGAACGTTTTTTACATGAAAAGTTTTCTCAAAACTGTCTCAATTAGTGCTTGGAGTAGTTACCGCCTGAGGGATTTTAAAAAATTGATTCAATTTTTGAAAAGAGTAAATACATTTCATTATGATATGATTTATGCAATTACAAAAGAAGAGAAGGTAAAAGTAAACGTAACGCCGGAGACTACTGGCATGTTGGAGACAATTACTTTTATATATCTTCCAAGTGGAAGAGCGCAATTTATTTTTAGTCATAAGCAGATTAAAGAAAAAGCCACGGAAAGTTTTCTATTCATTGTCTTGCAATGAACTCGGAACGTTATTTACAGGGTCTTCTATATGGGATTTTCGTTGCAGCTTATAAAGTGACCTTTACTGCCAGTTAAATGTTGAGTGCTGGTACGTTTGTGTTTACTGAATAGCACATACTCTTCCCAAGTTTAATTACAACAATTTCTAAGAATACATCAGTGCCTGGAAAAAATTAATGGTCTTACATCCATAAGGGCAGCAGAATATATTATTCTGCGGCTTTGGCACCTTCATAGTTGATCTTCGTAGGAGAAAATTATCAATCGTTTAATGCATAAATAATACATATGGTGACTCTGTTTTGTGCGTACGTATGTGTGTAATTCCAAATTGCATGTATCTGCTGTTTATCGGGAATTCCCTCTTTCAAAGTTAGTTCATTAGAAGACATACACATATTCCCGCAAACTACAACACACTAAAGCAGAAAATAATAATGATAATAAGTAAAATTTCTGATTATAACAAACTTTTCGATGAGAAATGCACGATTAATTTTTTAGGGAGCTCTCTTCTACTTAGAAACATTATCTTTTTGGTATGAAATACATTTCAGTTTTCTTTAAAGTGTGAATATGAATTGTTTAGTTTAACAAGTAATGAGAGGAACAAATTGTGCATAGTGAGAGTTCAAATTTGAAACTCTCTTCAAAGTGCTTCTGCAATTGCTAAGGGAAAGATTCATTTTAAACAACTCTGATAAAAATCACGAGGCATGCAGCGCTTATATATGTGTTAACACTGTTTGAAGTTCATCTTCATTAATAATGCCCGTCTTTTGGCCAAAGATTTTCGACACACATATATAGATATATATTATTCTTCCCAGCTTATTCGATTAATGGATTATAGCAATCTTTGAGCAGGAACTCATATCACATTGTGACGTTCATAATTCGAAATTTATATCATATAATGACGATAAACGTGTGAAAAAATTTCAAAATGAATCTTGGAATAATTTCGTTTATATACGCGGTAAAGTGTCCACATTTTTAAATTACTAGTAGACCCGTTCAAGTGCTTTTCAGACAGATTTAAACGAAAGCACGTAAGAATGCTATAGCCGAGTAAGGCTGACTATTCTGTATCCTAAACCAGCTGTTATATATTCTGTCTTTATGTAAATGCATAATTTTCATGAAAGCCTTCATATTGGAGCATCCTGAAACGCCAGCGTTTACTTTTACAGTGGCTTTCATCATAAGAAACCACAAATTAAATTATGTTCTATGTAATCCAATTTCCCTATGATTGATTGAGCAAAGTTTTATCAGGAGATATTAAAAATAAGTCCTTGCCCAGATTAGGATCCAAAATATTGGTCCAAATTCGGTAAGGCTAATTTTTATGTCAAACAATTATAATAAGCGAATATTCATCAAGAAGTGTTGAAAATTAAGCCTTGTTACGGTATAAAAAATCAATTTCCGTATGTATGGTTATATGGCAAAGAGCTCAAGAAAGTGCGCCATCCGATCGAAACTTTTCACAACAATTTAGAATATCGAAATTATTACTATTACTAGGCGTTTTTAGAATATCGAAATACTATCATTAGGCGATTTTTGTCGCGAAATTGTAAGAATTGCAATATTTTCTCTTGTAATGACTTAACAAAATGAAGCGTTATATGCGGAGTGGTCAAAAAACGGTTTGTCCTCTAGTTAAAACGCCAGACGAACAGGCAAGCTTAAATCGAATCAGAAAATGATTCTGAATCGCTTGGTACAATGAAAGATAGGCCTATTTGAAGTCGCTCTTCATATTACAACCGTTCGCACAAACTTAATATATAATAATTATATAATAAATAATTTTTACTCCCACCGCTGAAGGGGAGGGTGTTATAATATTTGCAACACCCACAAAGGAAGCATCAGGGACCCTGTAAAGTGTATACATCTGTCCGTTTGTGCGTGTTTGCGTGCGTAACTTTGTGGTGTGTTTTGCTGGCGCAAACATTAGGATATCGGCTTCAAATTTGGTAGAAACATTGCACGAATTTTTGCACGAATGTTGATATTGAAAATGAGCCAAATTGATCAGAGCACATCGTTAAAAGTTCTGTCAATTCCGGTTATATATTTAAAAGCAAGTCAAGTAAACGGACATAAGTGACTTTCACAAATGATCTTTTCGTGGAGGCATTACCACGGAAGATCTTTTTATGAAGAGGATTGAGATTGTTCTTATTTAGCACAAACGCCTAAGTTCACAGGACGGTATCATATTGTTACGAAAGTACCATACTCGATGATTTGAGTTCTCATGGAAACTATTCAACTTTCCAGGAAAAAAAAATACCAAAAAAAGGAAAAACCAAAAACTCTATCATGACGGTTTACCTGCCTCATGCAGGTAGCGACCCGTGCAAAGACTGACAACAATTAGCAGAAGTAGGGATTAACGCAAAAATGTCACTACGAATTCAGGTAATGTTGACATTTAAGTAAAAGCGTATTTAAGCGGAATATTTGCGGAAGGCAAAGTCAGTCGAGTCGAAAAGTCAATCGAAGGGGAGTCGTGAGAGTCGAGTCGACAGAATTGAATTGTTATATTTAAAAGGAAAAGATCGGAACAAGAATTAAAGAGTTGTAAGTATCAACTTCCTATAAATAATTCGTTAATAAGTCTCGAGTTGAATAAAAAAAATCGTATAAAATCACGAAAATCGGTTTTACATTAAAATATTTTAGACCTTATCGTAATCCATCTTTGCTATTGTATTCATTCAGCGAACTGTCCTATATTCATTTCAGGTAAAGCATTCTTTGTACATTGGCAAGGAGGAAATGCTTAATATAATCAGTCAATATTTGATATGTCGTAAACTTTTTGTATATGTCAAAGTCTGCTTTTGATATTATGTTTAGAAACCGTATATGACATCGATTTGGATTTTTTTTTATCACGTCTGGCTTTCTCTCAGTATTTGAAGCGCGCGAATTAATTTACTTTTCACACCTTTAGCACACAAATAACTTGATTACTTTCAGTTTCATTCATCATCGTTACTAATTAAAAATGTCGCCGCCATTCGAGAATCATTTACGGAAAATTGATGAATTAATAACCATTGAGGACAAGGATCGTAAGCCGTACACTAATATCTATAATAAAATACGAGATACGTTGCTTAATGGTATGTGTAAGGTGGATTCGCCTTTTAGACAAATGTACAAGGGCTACCGGTTGTGCGGTAAGTGCAGAAATTTATTTTTAAAATGTTCATGAAAACTTATTACATCTGCTATCATAGGCAGTTATATGCACAATGTCCGCTTGAAGAAACCAAATGAATTCGATGTTATTTTCATACTGAGCATTCCGAATGGGGATAAGCTGGCCATACTAAAAGATAAAAATAGACCAGGATTTGTAAAACTAGGGCTTGGCGACATTTTTCCTCAATTAACTGTGGAAATGAAGTTAATTCTTAACGAACTAGTTACTGGCAGTGAAAGATTACTAGTACGAACCGCATTACAAACGTGGTTATGCCGCACTATAAGGAACGTTTTAAAAGGAATTGAGAATCGTATACAAACGGACGGCAGATATTTGCAACTTACATATTTAAAAACGGGTGTTGCTCACACCATCTACGCGAGAGATGTTAAAAATCCACATTTCTCGATTTCTATCGACTTCATACCGGCCATAACAATTAAAAAAGTATTTAAATTTGGGAATGAGAGCGATATACATTCGCTGTATGCAGTTCCAAAGCCTTTCAAAGGCAAGTATATAAATGGTTCTGGTAACTCATTCCAATTGGTAAATCCAGACATGGAACATAAGCTTTTAATGGGCAAACAACATTTAAAAGTAGTCTATCGCCTGTTGAAATCTTTACGCGATCGTCATCGGTTGGATCGATTGAAGAGTGTTTTTTTTACCAGCATGTTTTTATGGGAGATTGAAAAGCGTTCCCAAAACTTTTGGCACAAACCCATCGGTGAAGTATTTTTGGAGGTAAGAATCGACTAATTATTAATATTAAATGCTAGCTAACGTATTTTTCCTTTCTCGGTTTAAGATGCTAAAAGTTCTGAAAGAACGCTTTCAAACTCGAAACTTTCCTTATTTTTGGAGTCCAGAACACAATCTAGTAGACATTTTAACCGATGATGAAATGACTGATTATGCAGAAATACTAAACACAATATTTTGCACTTTTCAAGCCTATCCTAACCAACAGTCTTTAACTTTTGACATGTGTGCCCGTCATTTTCAAATATTGCGCAAATGCTAACTAAGAACTTGAAACCCACCTGTTGTTTTATACATATGTTAAAAACTATTAATTAATTCACTATAACACATTGTCGGTTTGTGATCTGCAAATGTTAGTAAAGGCACCCCATTACTTAGAATAAGAATAAGAAGCAATATTAATACACTTTCTTTTCAAAGGACTGTCCATTTGAGAGATGTTCCTTCTTTATTTAAAGAAAGTTGATTGTTCTACGTGATATTTTAACTTTAATTTTAATATTGTCTTAATTAGGCATGAAAAATGCTACTTAATGTGAATTCCTCTTTCGCGGAACTTCTTTACTTAGGAATACTAAATGTGTTTGCTTAAGTTTTAGAAGTCAAATAAAAGAACTTTATATATATATATTGATCTATATATATATATTTTAAAAAAAAAAACCCCCGAATTTGTTTTACTGTTTTCATCGTTTCAAAATTTTCATTATTTTTTTATTATCATATTTACATTATTATGGAAAGAAATGAGTGCGACATGGCCTACCGTTAAATATCTTGCACCATTTTGTAGCTATAGCTATTCACATAATGGCTTTGCAAAATAATGGTGTACGAGTACACCACATTCCATCACAATTGCAAACTATAAATTGAACACAAAATGTACAGACGTAAAGGCCAGCTTGGATCGCGTCGGAATCATTTTCTGGAAGGTGGCTCTATCTTAAGCCCTTCTGGGTGTTTCGTACGTCCGCGAAGACTTTATATACCCTGCACCTTGTGGTATAGAGTATAAAACAAAATGTTTTTAAGACGGGAGTAGGAAGCAAACGTAGTATGAAGCTATAAGGTAAAGCAACTGGGCTACGACGAGGAGGTTTCAGTATATATCATAGATTATAAAAGAAACATCTGAGACTTGTTTCAAAATTAGCTTAAGGATCCTTACATACAAAGTCTTTAGTTAGACCAATACGTGAGTACGCCTCGATTGTGTGGTCTTCTTCCTTTAGACGTTCTATAGATCCAATTGAATCCGTTCAAAAGTAATTCTTGTTGCTCGCCCTTAGGAATTTGGGATGGGATCCTCTTGTCTCTCTGCCATTTCATCAAAATAGGTCGGTCTTGTTTTTCTTACTAGCACTTGAAAAACGTAGATTTATTCATGACGTTTCCTTCTTAATGAAGCTAATTAATGGTACTATCGATTCATCCACATCACTGGGTGAAATAGACTTTAATGTGCCTTAATCACTTCTCTAGCCATTTTATTTTCATTAAGCTTAGTCAACACAAGCACATTTATGAGTTATCTAATCCGTTCAGAGTTGTTTGCCAAAACCATAATGATGTCTATCACTTAACGTCAATATCAGATTCTTTAAAGTCTATCAAAAAAACTATGCTTAATACGCGCAATTTACCTACGCCGCATTTATCTAACTTGCAATCTTAACATCTCACTATGATTCGAAAATTAACTGATAGTGTTTGCAATGACTTAGGGGTTCACTTGCAGGGGTGTACCCCTATGCCACTTGTGTACATCCTTTTTTTCATTTACTTATATTGTTTATAAATGAATTTTATTTTTCTCCGTTTTTTCTTTACTTTTCTTTATATTATATATTGGATTAATATTTAATAATAATTAGGTCAAGGTTACTTTCAAGCGGACGATTTGAAACTTGATCTGTGAAATGATACTAGGAACATAAATGCTAGGGTATATATGTCTTACAATCTTATAATTCTTGAGATTGCCTTTCCTTACAAGTACAGAAGGGCAAGACTAAGCAAATTTTAGCTTGATTAGCGGAATAATGCCAAGAACTCAAAAGTTTTGTTCTCCTTCAAAGCAAATGAAAGCTACAGCGTTAATTAAACAAGTAAGAAAATTATACTGGATCGTGGTCGAATCTTTTATACTCACCATCGTTATTCTAAAAAAGACAAAAAAAGGTAAAAGAACTAAATTTTCATGCCCTATAATATGGACTGGGCGCGGCTGATTTTTCTTACGTTCAAAGTAAAAGTTTTTGCCGCATAGAGGCGTGGGCGTTTTGTAGAGTATAACTTTATTATTAGTATTAAACTATATAGATTGAAAAATACTTGCCTTTAGTCGGAATAGGTAGCAAAAAGATTTAATTACTGGACATTTTAAAGGATTTATTGTCACTAACAAAAACCATGAGACACAAATAGAAAACCGTATAGAAATACAATATGTTCATTCCCGATTATAAATGATTGTTTGTGTGATTGTAAGCATGCATGTCTTTCATCTTCCATAGTGCAGTTAAATGTCTTCTAAATCACGATATGTTTCTTTTAGTCATAGTAAAGTTGTTTGGTGGCGTTTATTGTTTTCAGTGTGTTTCTGATAAAATTCTAAGCTCTAACTTAAATAAAAACAATTGTGACAAAATTAAAAAAAAGAATGTTTAACTGCATACATAACATATTAAATACATTTAAAAATAATTATATAATTTTTTTTGTACTTGTAATTATTAAAGCACGGAATACATTACTTCAACTCTTTTACCCGCAATAACATGGATTTGAAGGAATAAAAAGATTTTTTACCGGAAAATCGGTCCAATTTTGCAATAATTCTGATTTTTCTAAACTCAATTGAAAAACTTTCCGTCATTAATTTTAACTCTATTATGTTATGTTATGAACATAAGTGTATGAAGCAGAAGCTTGCAATAATCTGACATATTATTTTTGCTTCACCTGATGCATTAAGACGAGATTATTTAATTATGGTAGTGTTAGTAAGTCAATAACGTGCATCGCTGGACTGAAAATGAAGTTGACCCTTCGACTGTCTGGGTAACAGTTTGCCAGACAGTTCCGGAAATTGATCGAAATGACCCATTGCATTAGAAATAGATATATGTCAAAAAGAAATTGAATTATAGGTATTTCATAAAAAAGTCACCAAAAAAACATTTGAAAACGTTATGTACCCTATAATTACTTCTTTGACGCTCGAAAATTCCGAAGAGTCAAATTCACCTACTTTTTAGAGTCAGTGTTTAATTAGAACAAGTTTTCGCCGACGGCCGATGTGCGTATATGTGTATTTATTTTACATTTACGTTTAAAATGAAAAAGACGTATAAAAAGCAAACATTCTAGTCCTTTTGTGACACATAGTTCCCGTTTTCAGCGAATTGCAAAAATCATTACATTTGCAATAGCGTTGCCGAGAGTCGATAAAATTCACTACAGTGCACGGGTCCTGTGCTTATGGGGAAATGAAGCCTTTTGATACGATTCCAGGCAAAAAGAATTAGACAGAAAGCAAACTTTGTCAATATGTGTCAAAGACTTCCACTTTCACTTTCTAAACAGATGTAAATTTGTCTCTCCGCCCGTTCCCTGTCCCCCTTGGTCCTAATTTTCGAGATATTTTGATGAAGGGAAAACTATTGAAAAGGGGTCACTTTTTCAAGCAATTTCCATATACCGCCTAACTTCGAGAAATCGTACTATAATTAACTGTATTAAGAGAGGCGGTTATAGGGCATTAAATAGTGTTTTTACTTATTTTTGTTATAGTAAGAAAAGAAAGGTACATAGACTGGAAGACAAAACGATAAATGGTAAGTAAGAGAGAAAGATAACCACTCAGCTCATATCCCGCCCAGAAGCAAATTTTACCCTTGGCCGCTGTTTTGAATGAAATTCTGCCTTTCTTTGGTATTATCAAAGGTGTGATAAGCAGAGGTCTAAGTATTTGAAAGGAGTTTAATTCTCTAGATAAGAACGAAAGCGAATTTTTTGAATATTGAAACCAACCGAGCTTTCTTTCAATTTTTTCAACACATTATGTAAAAAAGCAAAATTGTTTATCCGATTTGCGTAGACACTTTCTTACTTTTAAACTTATTTATAAATACTTTGTTTGGTAAATAGCTAAAAAAAAAAATAATATAATAATAACAATAACATCATTGCGTTAGCGTTTTTCAACCAACATTTCAATCTTTCTAACTATTATTACGTATGTTTTCATGTCAAACACGTCTAAGTCACGCACGGCACGTTTAAGTACAAAACAAAAACTAAGCAAAAAAAAAAAAAAGAATTTTAAATGCCTAATATTAAGTGCAGGATATAAGCGAATGAAAGTGGTTAGTGTGTCAGTTTGGTTAGTGCTGCTTCAATTTGTAAAGCGTTGTGAATAAATGACTTATGCTAGTGGTAGTTTTGACATTTACAAAAATTTACATATTTAGTGAAAAAGTACAAATTTATCCTTAATATTAATTCTACATATGCGATATCTAGCACAATATATATTATACTATAAATTGATATAATTTTTGGTACAAACATATATATACGATTGCTTAGATGCTAAATGAATATCAATCAATATCAATATTTTCTTGATCATTATGTCATGTCTTTTAATATCCATTACGAACAGTTGTGACCGGGAAAATAAACAACCCGGGTGTATCAACACAAAAAGATAAGTGTATTTGTGATTTCGTGACATATAGATTACAATAAATTCTATTTTAAAAACCTCAATATCAAATACTTGAAACACACAAGTTGAAGATCTTAGATAACTATCATTTCAAACGAATAGCTACTATATTATCTTAAGAGGATTGTATCAGCAAAACTAGTCGAGTTCATTGCTTTTAATTCTTGCAAATAAATGTCACGCGAAAAAAGGCGACAAAATCTTCAATATTGCGAATGAATTGTGTTTCGCTATTATTACTATTTCGCGAATAATTTCTTAACAAAATTCCGATAACGTTTACAATGATTTTTTTTCACTGGCATTATAGAATTACGAGAAAAAAAAGAGTTTTTTTGCGCCAATGTATTCGTCGGAACCAGCCCAGATCATGTATATGAATCTAATGTTTGACCGCTAGATCGCCGGGACGAGTCAACTTGACTCAATAAATGAAATGAAATTAAGTTGTAAAGAAACGACGACCGAAAATGACAAAAATACATAATTATGAAAAACATACACAATCATAATATTAAAATTTATGACAAATGCGATTGACGTTCGCCTCCCCACCCTTTAGTTCGAAAAAGCTCGATGCGTGTTATACCTGTTTTGACGGACGTAAGTCAAATTGATTCATTAAGTAATAAAGTATGGGAATAATCCGTTGAGAACAGCCAGACTTGTTATAGAACTGGCGCGCATATATAATAGTCGATGAGCAATCGCTCTCAACTAAAGCCAAACGTCCATTTATTAAACGCATGCCGAATAAACGACTACAATTTGGCATCGAATTTGGTAACGAAACTGACTGAATTGTCGGGTTCAAGTATAATGCAAAAGCAATAAAAGTAAGCCCATCTATGCTAAACGTAATAAAAAGATCTGCAGAAAATGTATTTTAAAGGTGAAGTACGTATCTTACAAATGTTTTTAATAAAGTTTCTTAAAAAAAAAAAATTTTTAATTTTCAATCTTGATGGCAAAATTAGTATATGGTCAACATTCGGCAACCTAGTGTTAAACATGGTAGCAAAAGTATTTTTCCTCCTTTTTATCTCTCAAAGGCAAAAATTTGTGGCGATCGTACAAAATGGTACGTTCCGCTTAGAGAGAATAACGCACTCGCGGAAACAAGTTTCTCCTATAGACCCAACATTCTATCAACCATACGACGAAAAATCGAGTATAGATCCAAGTATAGATCCAATATAGCAGTTTCCAGCTAAAGAGATACTCGTTACCTAGTACCCGGTTACAAGAGTATATGTCCAAGCAAACACTTTTCTTAATTATCATTAGTTTCTTACATTAAAAAGAAAAAAATTGAAAAATATAATATATAAGCACTGCAGATTCAGATGTTCCCAGTATCTCTTACAGAATGTATCGAAAGTGTTAACATTGATATATGTATTTAATGAATCGATTTATGGCATGCGTTTAGGAATTGTTTGATTTGAACTTTTACACTTCGATACACTAGGAAAGTTCATTTTACTGTATCATCATGACTTTCAATAACGAATATAAAAAAATCGATATGTTTTTGGTCGGCAGGCATCCATTTTTCTTCTTTCATATTTTTTTTTTACATATCTCCTGTATCCATGGCAGTATTAATATCAGCTACAATTTTCCCCATCAAATCGCTATAGGGCGAGTTAGCTTTAAACGCCGTTTCAAGCAATGTAGCATCAGTGAAAAATTCGAATACTTCATCGATTCGATTTAAGGACTTTTCAGTTAAATGCCTTTGCACGACCATTTTAAGAGTATCGTGTGACTCCCTAATCGAGTTTTGTAAATAAGGCAAATCGAAACTATAGTCGACCTCGTAAAATGATATCACCGATAATTGTGTATTCTAAAATAGAATCAAGAGCATCACGTATTAGACAAAATTCTCTCTGAATTCAAAATATGACATCATTTTGTAAATACCTGGAATTTTCTTTTGAAAGTTTCTGCGTGCTTTTGCTCTTCGGGGTTAAATTGATTATTTCGATGCAAAACGCTTATTTTGATAACAATTTTTATTATGTTTTTAATTATTTTCTCTGCTTTCACTTTATTGCCAGTCTGCAAAGATAAAAATAAAAATTAAGTAAGTTTTTCTAATCATTTAGAGTATGCGCGAGGAGTTTGAACTAAAATTCTTTTTATTATACCGTTACCCATTACTCATGAGGAGTATGGTATATTCATTTTATCAAAACGTGTGCAATGCCCAAAAAGAAACTTCAAATACCCACGAAACTGTATATATTCTTACATGCCCTTTGTCTATGTTATGTCTTTTGTACACATTTTCCTGACAGCAAAATGAAGCTGTCTCAAATTCATTCATAGGAGAAGCCTTGAAAGTTCTTCCAGGCAATTTAGTATTGAAAATGGGTCAAATCAGTCGACACGCCCACCACGTAAGCTGGGAACCCCACTCTTCCGCACCGTGCCTACCCCAATGTTATGAAGTATGAAAATCAAATTCCTTTCCTTTTTTTTAGTCTTTTTTAGGATAACGCTGATGGGTCCGGTGTTGATTTATTTATTTATTTTATTTTTGTTACGAAATAATAAATCGAAATGTAGGTTCAATGAAAAGACGTACACACAACTTACATGAATTTTACAAAGACGGTATAAATTATCTAAGAGGGAAGCAGTTGTTCCATCAATAAATGTTTTCGCTATATTCTTGGTTGCCATGCGGGATAAAATTTTTTTTTGAGCACGCAAGCCAATGTCGCGTGATTTGAAAGCACCGTCACCCATAACTAAAAATATTTAAAAAAATATATATTGTACTGCATAATAGTAAATATTATATTAATCAGGTGCGGTAAACGAAAAAACAAAATAAATTATATAAACTGGATTTTAATGAAAATGAATTAGAAAATCTTTTAATACTTCTTGTAAAACAAAAGAAACTTATTTTTAATATACGAGCTTTATACCAAACATTTTCATATTGTGCACCATTTGTGGTATAAAGGCACATTAATCGCCCGATCGACTGAGAATCACTTTCTGAACCAAAGCTTGGCTGTCCGTCTAGGCTAGTAAAAATTTTTAGGGTCGGAACACAATTTTCGTATGACGCTTTATTTCGAAAACTTGTGCTGCATAACTATTTTAAGCGAATTGGTGTAGAGACGTGGCCAGCACTTTTTTTTTAGTGTAAAATAAATGAAATATTTTCAATACAAGATTTTTATATTGAAAACTTTTGACAGTTCTATGCAGCTATGTGCATCAGAGTAAAGTACAGACAACCTTAATAAAGAATCTGAGTTGATTCAACAAGTTCAGCCGATCGAAGTTAGATTTTTGATGTTACAACTCCAACATTTGCAACGCTTAAGGCTTGAGGATGGCATATATTCTGTGTAGGGTTATTTTGCTAATTTCAAAAGTAACACTCTATTCTTTGAATACGAGCCCTGTACACAACTTTGATAAGTATGGCTTTTTCCAGCATATTTTGGGATGTTTTTCTCCACTTATCGTGCAATGAAGCAATCGCAATACTGCCTTTTTGCTACGGGGTCCATTTTCAAAACTAACTTATGTACAACAATTCAGTTCCACAATCATTTTCCTGACTACATTTTTCTAATATTTCGTTGCATCTCTGTTTTAGTTTCATGGCTATTATTGGTTATATGCTTATTACGAATTGCACGGATATATAGGCCCTGTGTCTATTAAACAAAAAGGCATAAATTCTATCTATAGGGCTACTCCTGAACTTTCAAAACTTAACAGCAGCCATGGCACAGCAACAAGATTTTATCCAAATTGATATTTTCGCTCAATAAAAATATTTATCGTGAAATTTAACTGAGAATTTTACTAAGAAATTTAACCGAGAATTTACCACGTGTTCAAATATTTTGGTACATGTTTCTTCCTTTAGTTGCAGCAACCATTTTTAAGCCCAATTTGTTTTATCTCCCCCAATTTTTGCTGTTGTTATTATATGCATATACACCGAACTCTTTTTTTTAACGAAAATAGCTTTTTCGGCCCAGCCAGTGATAAACGTGCACGCTTTATAACAAATTGACTATTATTTTTAATTTCCATTTAAATTTTTACATAGTGTATGGGCAGCGTTTTCACGTTACACTAATCTTAATATTTTTGTTTTTTTTTTTTTGTAATAAAAAAAGAATTGTTTTTGTTTCGTAAGTCTGTAATAAGGGTTTCAATATTAAATTTGTTGCACGGTTTTTTTTTGTGACAATATTTGTAGTTTTTTCATCTTGCACGACTTTCTAAAGCTTTGGAACATATCCTTAAATTTACCATATGTCGCACGCAATTTTTATGCGGTTATTTTGCACGATTTTCTAAGGAGCGCATCTACACCTGAAAAAAGTGTTATACGTTTATATACGATTTCAAGTATCGACAAATTTTCATTAAGTCCGTCCTCATTGCCAAAGGCCAACAAAAGTAACCGAATAGGTGATAATCGCGACTATGTGCGGTAGAATTTGCCTTGATCGTAGCTATAGTGAGTGCTCAGCCCAGATGCAAGAAAACGTGAACTTGAATAAATGAAACTAAGTGAATTAAGTAGTTAACTAATCGAGAATCGCGTAGTGTTATGCACTCCATATTCCTTTACTGTTAATTTACCTTCCAAATTCCAATAGTCAATGCTCCAAAGCAATAAGCATTGGCGGATGCCATCGGCTGCCATATTAAAATTCTAAAGCAGCGTCCGTGTTAAATATTAAACAAAACTCGTATTTAATAAAAAAAAAAAACATAATTTTAAACATTTTTTCGAAATACAACAACATGCACCTCTCTTTGTGCAATTGCTTCGGGATATAGAAATCCACAAATGAGATTTATACAGTTTTCCGTGCACTTCAAGTTTATCTGCTAAATAGTCTCTCTTATTTGTAACCTTACTGTGTCGGATATCTCCCTAGATGAAAATAAACAGAAACATCAACTTTTCGGTGAATATAAACAAGAACTCAGAAAAATTCTAATTCAAATTTTCCCAATATGTACACAATTGATGAGATATTGGAGGAATCATTCGAAAATGTAATGATCCGAAACATTCGCAGTAGTTTTCGTTCTTGGGCTAGCACACGTCAGTGTACAAGATTTCAGCAAAATATCTCAAAAATGTATGTATGTTTACAAACGGGTGTCAGTTTGTTAATTTTGTTTTAACTCCTGGATTATTGTGCCTATCACTGCGTAGTAGTATGCGAGCATAATCGTTTTGTAAAAAAAAAAAAACTTTAAAATATCCAAAGAGAATATTCAGAAACCTATGAAAGTACATATCCGTCTGCCCGTCGCTGTAAAAGTGTTTGGTAAAAAACATTACAAGTTTTTGAACACAAATTGCTGTTTAAATTGGATCATATCGCTTAAAAAACGCGATTACAGCAGAACAGAACTGAGAACATTTCCGGTTTTTGGACTCTTTTGTTATTCGTATTCGTATACTGCAATAGCTAGAGCAATAAAATATAAATAAAAAAACGGCTACTTAATATTATAAACTATCGAAAGTCATTTTTTTTTACTTTTTTTAACTTGAAGTTGCGGATGTAGGAGAAAATAATGTACTACCTTGTTCGTCTGAAAAGTTGACCTTTCCATCAATTGAATATGTTTAAGAGTTGGTATATAATATAAATTAAACTAACCTTCCAAAAGGTTTCAATAAAGTGTTGTATTGATGTTTTCCTTATTACAGGTTTCAGGTTACAAAATTCCTCTTCAAGTTAAGCGTACTATTTTCTATCTCCAGCTTTCCTCGTATTGCTTTTTCGTTACTATAGCGCTATTGTTTCACCCATTTCGTATCCTTGCCAACAAGAACACTCTGACGTCTTTCAATATTTGCCTAGAATGGTTCAGGGAGACTGGCGGCTCTAGGTTGTTTTATATGCAAATAAGGTGAAAAGTATAGGGATTAAACAGTTACGAACCAATTTCGAAGGTGAAGAATGGATTGTTTTGAACTGCGATACTAATTTTCCCCCATTCTTTATGGTGTTCGTTGTACAATTTTTCCAAATAGTTGTTAATGCAGCTCAGGCTAACTTTAAAAATATATAAAATCGTAAAAAACTCTTACTGGTTTTCATCTCTGCACGGGTTCAATGTTTTTATATACATGTTTTTATTTATTACAAGCGTAACTTTACAGTCTTTAATTTAGGGTAGTTTTGTAAAGTCAAAATGGCTGTTTCGCATTACTTTATTGACACTCTCCCAACTTTTTTTCATACTTTAGGAGAACCGGACGCAAATTTCTCACACTCTCCGTTAACATTGCATGGTTTTCTATTAAAACGCATTTATATTTAAATGAGGTCGAAAAATGATTTGATCTAAATACTACTTTACATTACTAAGTGCTTAGTGATAGCCCCGGAAAAGCAGTTGTCTTTAAAACCATTACATTTTCAAAGCATTAAGGGTGAAATTAAGTTAGGAAATAAATCTAATAATAGGCACAGAGCAACACAGGAAACAAATCTAACAATAAACATAGAACAGCGCAATATATGAAAAAACAGCTGCCCTTATAGCTCTTGTCAGTCAAAAGCTGATAAGAGATTAGGTAGTTATGGTGACACTTGTTAGTAATTAATTAAGGCTTACTTTTTCTTCTCAATAAACACGTATGAGGTAACTTCGTAAATTAGTTAATAATCGTTTTTCACTTCCAATTGCATGATACATTTCCCTGTGGAAATTGACGAGTTCATTAGATAAATGTTACGAAAAACACATTTTTAGATCAAAGAAGATTTTTGAATACTTTTTTCCATCCGTTTTCTGATCATTTTACTAGATTTTTTCCTAATACACATAAGCACAGAGTCACAGTTTTGAACTGTGAACAGAGTTTTCAAACAACTACGCATTATGGCTTCTTACTGTTACATTGCGTGTGCATAAGGAACCCAAGCAACTGAACAGCGGTTGCATAGGCGATAATTAATAATTAAGTTTTATGTATATGGTATTAATAATTTCTTCTTTAGTGAATTATTATAGAAAAGAATATATAATATGAGATTGAAAAATTAATCGTTATGTTATATTAGCTCTTAAATTTGTATTTTCAACAATATTATTTGGAATGTTATTACTATGAGATGAATTAGATGAATATTGACTGCATTACCAGCTTTATCTGATTGAAATGGAGATGTTGCATATGTTGTTTATATTGCTCTATTGTTAAATACATATGTTATATTAAATGATGGAAGATCACATTATATATTCTATTTGCATATAATAACGAATTATTTTACTATAATGTTAGCTGAAATGTTAGTTATATTAGCAGCAATAACTAAAAGAGCTCAACTCGAATATTAATGTAAGAGCTTTTAAATTTCTAATTTCTTTATTTAGAAACTTTGATTTCAAATTACTATTACGTGGCGATACAATGGTAATGGCATTTTTTTGCATCAAAAAGCATAACAAGAAGAAAAGGAAACTGACAAGCGTGAACGTCTACAGGAAAATATTAAGCATAAGTGCTTAGCTAATAACTTTTAAATACTATTAAAAGTCTTTTATTTAATTCTAAGTTAAATTTTTATTAGCTATCTAACAGCTATCTATCTGCGTTATAAAGTTTTACGAAATCGTCCCGCCCGCTTTATTTTGTTTTTCTCTCCATCTCTTTTCTGTTATAAAGCTTTTCTGGTTGCACTTCAACATCCCAAGTACATTTTTTCTTAGGTGAATGAAGTGAATAGTATAAATAGTATAAAGAGTCTCTGTTCATTTGCAACCAAATGGTTGTTTATAAATTGAAAACAAACCGAGACGCAACCAAATGGTTGTTTATAAATTGAAAAATTTGTAAAACTGGTACCGTGTGTAGTTGTTGTTGCAAATCTAATTTTTGTTTACATTTGCTATGCACGTGCTTTTGTTTACATTTCAAAAGTAAGACCATATGATTTTTTGTTGATGTAAAAGTAGTACCGTGTGTATTTTGTTGTTGCAATTTTTGTTTATTTTTCGATGATGCACGGGTTACCAAACTGCTTACCGAGAACTTTATAACTCACGAAATCTGTTAAAAGAGCTTTATAACTCACGAAATCTGTTAAAATTCATTGCAAAATGCAAATTGCCGTCGGCATTGCAAAATGAAAAAAGACCAGTAGGAGGTTTTCCAGCCCTTTGCATTATGTTGTAACCTCTGCTTACGCTTATGTGTTGGATTTTGTTAGAAATTAGTTTTCCTTTCCAGTTCGAAAGGAAAATTTACAAACTTTCGACTTTTTCAAATATGTTAATTTTGTAAGAGCACTTTTTTCAATAAAAAAATATATATTGAACGAAGAAGAAAAACTTTTACAGAATTTTTTGATGCCCTTTCAGTTTTGAATAGCTTTCCCTCGAATTATTTGTTAGATTGACAGTGGTGGCCATGCAAAATATTTTTTCCAATGTGGGGAAGGAACGGTTAAATAAGAAACGTGACGTAATCAAAATTTAGACCGAAAAATACGTAGGTGTGGGAGAAACGTAAATATACAACGACTATCAAAGATTCGTACATTTAAATGAAAGATTGCAAATTTACTCAAACCATCTGTACGAATGTATGCAAAAATGAACACCAAATATTCAAAAATATGCGAAAATCAAACGGCAGGTCTCTAAAAACTTAATAAAACTAATCAGAATGCGTTTAAGGGAAAATAAATGATATATGACGTTTAGGAGCTAAAAAGAAAAATATTCTTAAGGTCTTCAACGTTTGCCGCCGGACGCACGCCAGATGGTACAAACATCTATATCTATTATTGGTGTGATGTACCAAAACAAGCTCTAAAAGGTGACAAAGCTTTGTGTTCGGCATGCCATACGTTTTAATTACTTTCTAAAATTTTATGAAATTAAATTTTAAAATATGCAAGAAACTTTCTTTCGCAATTAGGACTCCATTCGCTACTAATTACTGCATCGGTCCATAGGAATTGGAAAATGTGGACTCGTTCATGGATTTAGAGCTTTTACTTGACCATAGGCTTTTTCTCTTGTTTTAAGTTGCACATATAATTATCTACAAATGAAGCTTAGTTTTATTAAATGGTTGACAAAAGAGCTCGGGGTCCAACACCTTACAAAAACCTGTACTTGAGCTTAGTGAGACCAATCTTGAGTATGCACGTTTGGCATGATCCCCTTTCCGTAATCGCTATGTACATTGAACAGAATCTATTTAAAAGCAATTGTCGTTTTTTGCCCTTAGGAATTAGAAAATACAAATTCCATACAATTGAGAATGTTTGAATAAATTTCTTTACATGTATTGCTGCTCTTTAGAGAATAAACGCATATTCGTTCTCAATCATTCAACAGGTCTTTGCAAAAAAGTCATCGATGCGAGATTAAATTAAGGTTGTTTGCGTTCAGGCGTTTGCGGAAAATACATTCGATCATTTTCACTTTTTATTCATCCTACTATACTATATAATTTTTTTCCCAAACTTCGATTTGCTTTCTTTTCACATATTAAGTTCAAATCATTAAGCTAACTTACGATCTGCACCTTTTTTTAAATAAGTTACTATTTCAGATTTTTGATACTACTAGAACAACAACAACAACTCCTAGAACAAGGTTTAGCATGAATTGCTTAGAATTTTTTTGTAAAATATAACTAACATGACTTTTTCTTAAGGAAAATATATATATTTAAATAAAGTTTTGTTCTTTATTTAATTGTGACTCTTACTTGTTACTATAAAGGAATAGCTTTTCAAAATACTTCAAAAAATTTCAATTTCTATCGTTTGAAGAGTTATAAACGTTTATTAATTAGGGCTATAAGATGTTATAAGATTCTCGGAAAACTTTTTTATATTGTCTGCTCCGCGCACTTCTTTCTCCAACAGCGGAAGTTTCGTAACGTGAAAGTCTTCGTAAAGGTCAGCAATTTGATCCAAGTACTTTTCTTGAATCTAAAAGAAATCAGAAAACGTTTGTTACATACACAATATATATATGAATCAATATTTTAATGAATGTACCTTGTATCTAGAGGCGCACATAGCGCACGGTTGTTGATCTAATTTTTTGAAAAGGAGCTGATTTACGACAATATTGTGGGTATCAATTCCACATTTGGTCAATTCTTGAACTAAACGTTCGGTTTCGTACAAAGAGAAGAATTCAGCTATGCAAACACATACAAAAGTTGTTTGATCCTGTAAAGTGTACAGAAACGTATTATAAACAATTGATAATAAAATTCAACATTTTTGTACTATTAATAAAATAGGTAATTTACTCACGGGATCCCTGAATTGTTCGTTGACTTGCCGTATTATTTTAAGCATTTCATCCAACTTTTGTGAAAGAGAATCCGCGTTGACTGGCATACCCAGTAAACTACCAAATTGTGTTAAAAATGGAGCGATTTTCATTTTTAATCTTAACAGTTTTCCCAAACCCTTTTCTACCGCCTGCGGAAATGATAACAATCGCAAAGTATGACCTGTTGGAGCTGTGTCAAAAATGACCACGGAAAAATTCATTGCCTTGACTAATCTGTATAAAAAAAGTGAAGAAATTTATATATATACATATATATATATATAAGTGTAAATCCTATGAGATAATATAAAAAAAATATATTTTTTATGAAACACTTTGCACTCATTTTTAGCAAAACCGATTGTACGAATATATGGTAAATGTTCAATATAAAAAAAAAAAAAACTTAATCTTGTTATAGTTGTTTTGATAATGCGACCTCAGGAGTACCGACATCTGTTCAGGAACTTATTGATAAAGGTTATATACGCTGGCGAAATATCAATGAATTTATAGATAAATCAAAATCGGTCGTAGAGTTTTACCGTGCCTATTGCGATCTAGAGCTTGAACACAAATTTATATGGGCAGACATTGGACGGACGGGCTGGCAGATAGAGGGACAAAAGTACAGTAGACTGGTCAGAAATTAATGCAGCTTGGGGACAAACAGTTTTATTGTTGTGTGCATTGGCCCGCAAGATTGGGCTGACATTTCTTGAATTTATTTGGAACAAATAAAGAATGACACACTGAAAATTTGCGCTTATTTTATAAAGTTCTACGATACATGCATAACAAATGAGAACGAATATACGCTTATTTTATAAAGTTCTACAATGCATGCATAACAAATGAGAACGAATATACGCTTATTTTATAAAGTTCTAAAATACATGCATAACAAATGAGAACGAATATACGCTTATTTTATAAAGTTCTACAATGCATGTATAACAAATGAGAACGAATATACGCTACTCAATTGATAAAACACCCATCATATGATCAGCCACTTAATCACAAATCCTGTAATGTTTTTACAAAAGGGTTTATATATTATATTATGGATATAATATATTATAGATTAGAAATTTAACTGCTATTATCGGTTGCTTATATGGCTGAGGGCTTCACTTGCAACTCAAATCTGTACCGGTTGTGAGTGTGCCTTTATGTTAGATATTAGTTACTATTGAAAAGTCAGAAAAGAAAGGCGATTATAATATAATAACAAAAGAACCTCCGAATTTTTAATAAAGCTCTGTGCAATTTAATTTCTGAGTCCCTTAGTCTAAGAAAAATTGAGTCGGTGGTCCGTTTTTAATGAAAGTTGTCAATCCTATTCCATTTAATTGTGAAACATGCGCAGATGTCTTCACGAAAGCTAACTTATATTTTCAGTGTACACGTTGGTGTACGGTTTAACAAACCGTGGTGATACGATGATATTATTTAACTGTTGAACTTACTTCATAACTTCAGCATAGCTCATTGCCTCGTCGATACCTGGCAAAGCTCCTACCACTTCATGTAAGACGCCTTTGCTTAAACGCATGGCTTCGCTGTCACCTTCGAAGTACTCATCCGGTAATTCATTTAGACCAGCATTTGGATCAATTTCCATGGCGTAAAGGTTGGGAAAACCGTTGATCTGAAATTGGTAATACGTACATATAAAAAGAAGTTCAAATAATTTAAAGAAACTTACTTTTGTTGGTACTTTTGTAAATTTTTGATCAAAAGCATCGGATATATTATGAGCCGGATCTGTAGATATAATTAGTACTGATTGCCTTACTTTCGCCATTTGAACCGCCAGGCTACAACTGTATATTTTAAGATGGGGAGAGTCACTTTTACAATACGGATATATAAATGAATTTCAGTCTACCTGCACGTTGTTTTGCCAACACCGCCCTTTCCACCAACGAATATCCATTTTAGAGACGTCTGTTCAATAATGTTTTTTAAGTTCGGCTCTAGGGGTTCAAAATCGTCAGCCATTTTAAACTGGAATATTGTAATATGTTTTTGTTGCTACAATTAATTATTATTTTAAGCAAAACTTGTATAAAAACGCGTAGTCATTCACAATTAATAAATTCCTTTCTCATTTATTTTACAAAATTCTTCTTCTTAACCGTAACGTGTTTTGATCGATAGCATTACCGTCAAATATTGTTGCCAGACTCTTAACAATGTGACAGAGGCTGATTCGCTAACTCGGCTTAATGAAAGCAATAAAATAATTGAAAACATTCTGGTAATAACAAGAAAGAAGTGAAAATTTCAAAACTAGTAATGGTTTAAGAAACATATGAAACAAGTTTGGCGACATATGATTTGCCAATTTCCCATGTACTCTTGTGTAAAAGTTCGGGAAAGTGGCAGTCTCCATCCGACAATAAGAATAACGCCTCGTTGTGACTTCCCTCTTAAGTCCATGTTATAATTCGAAATGTAGATTTTATGATTAGAGCGAGTGAATGCTTTTACCATTAAAACAGTTTAAAAAAATCGACAGTCTTACTTCTCTACAGTCATAAAATATTAGAGAAGTTATTATCTTTGAATTACTATTATGATTATTGAAGCAGTTGTGATGTTTATTTTATGCTGAACATCCCATTTTTCAGAGATATGTATTTGAAATCTTTTCGTGCCATTGATAAGATTATAGCCTCTAGATGCAATCAGTGTAAAATAAAAACTAAAGTAAACAAAAGGAAAATTTTAGTATTGTTCTACTCTTTGTTAATAATTCAGTTGTGTGAGTAAGCATCAGCGGTTTTTCAATCAATTCATTTACTCGCATTGCATAAATAATGGAATTTGAGCAGTTTGTACCAGAAAGTTATCCAAAAGATCTATTAGATAAGGATTGGAAAGAACGAAAATGTTATTGTGTAAAGGGTAGAAGAGACTTTTTGTGTTTGGTGCATAATATGTTTGTGAAAAATGATGATGTTTGGTTGGTGACTTTACCAAAATGTGGGACAACTTGGATGCAAGAGTTATTATGGTTGGTCATAAATAATTTTGATTTTAATGCTGCAAAGAGTGAACATTTAGAAATTCGCACACCTTTTCTAGAGTAAATATAATTGAAAACATATAATCTCTCACACATTCTCACAAACTTTATTCTACATACTAAAAAATGGTATCAGATTCGAATACATAGTTAATGAAGACTTGAAAACCGCCTTGAGACCGGTAGAAATGCTAACGTCGCCTCGTCTCATAAAGTCACATTTGCCTTTGCCGTTATTACCGGCACAACTTTGGTCTAAACTACCCAAGGTACGAATACGATCATTATATACTATTTAGTAACTCTTAGTGAAAACGTTGTCTACTGCGGCTTATAAAGTTGATTTACGTCTATCGAGATCCGAAGGATGCCCTCATTTCTCAGTACTATTTCGGCCGCAGCATGGGGTTTAATATGGACAAGACTTTGGAACAGTTTTTGACAGAGAAAATCGAAAGCCGCGAGACGGAATGTGATTTTGATCATGTTACAGAATTTTATTTTCTTCGTTCGCAACCTTGGCTTTATTACACCAGTTTTGAACGTATGAAAATTAATCTCCGACAAATTATTGAAGATATTTGCCAGTTTTTAGACCGGTCCATAAGTGAGGAACAAATGCATCAAATGTTAAAGCATTTGTCGTTCGAAGAAATGAAAGGTAATTTATTTTACTTTAATTTTGACAACCTTGAAACACTTAACTTTTGATAATTGAAAGTTCAATTATATCATTAAAAACACGTAAGAACACTATAGTCGGGTAAGACGGCTATTAAATACGCTACTCCATTTCGCCTCATATAGTCATTTCCCTAATAATAACACCTTATTTTTAGGTAAAGCCATACTACTTATGAAATTCCTTATTTTCATTAGTGTTTGCTCAAAATGTCAACTAACTTGACCCAAATTTAGCAAACTTAATATACTTCACAAAGACTTATTTTTCAATTGCTACCGTCATAAAAGGTTGCAACCAGACTTTATCGCCATAGTCTAAGAAATTCCAATTCCCTACGGTTGACTTTTACGCTGCATTGCTACTATGAACCTATTTCCATTATAAAATATTAAAAATTAGACCTTTTTAGCAAGCAAGAGTCATATTTTATGGCAATTCTTGTACAGGATGATTTCAAAAAAAAAATCTACTTGATGCAAACTTGATACAAATAAGTTTTTACAAATGTCAAAAGGCCCCCCTGAATCAATATTCATTATAAAATATCAAAAATTAGATATTTTTACCATATAGAGGCCTGTTTTTCATTAGAATCGTCATAGAGGGCGGTTTCCGAAAGAGAGAACTATGTAGTCCAAATTCGGTAAGGTTGATTTCCTTTCCAATTTCCCGTTTTGAGCAGATTTTCAACATGAAATATTGAAAATTATCTGTTGCCACTATATAAACATTCGTTTTTCGTAGGAACGTTTATATGGAAGATGCTCAAAAAATTGCACCATCTCCTCGCAAGGTTTCCCCGCCAATTTAGAACGTCGCAACCCTATTAGTCGACGATTTTTGTTTTGAAATTCTTGCAATACCATATCATGATAGGGCGTCAAAGGGGGAGTGATTGAAAAAGTGATCTGATTCCAACCGTTTTCAACAGCGTTCTTAGGCCAAAACAGCGTCGATTTAACAAATTTAGCCAAAATATCTCAAAACCGCGGACTATAGTTTGAACACAAGGATACAAGGCAGACAAACTAGAATCAAAGAAATGCCATTCTGAATCGTACGGTATTATAAGTAATCCTTCTATCTCAACTTCCTCTGGGTGTTATATATGTACACACACACTTAATACACCATACCTGTACCATAAGTAATGTAGAGTATAAAATTATTCGAAATTTACACCTCGAGTTAAAATGAATGTTCTCTTTAAGTATGATATCTTTTCTTCAGTGTATTTGGTGTAGGATAATAATGTACCAATGTACACGTACGTCTCATTAGCTGTTTGCAATAATCGCATTATGTGATCTGCTGTAACCTCTGTTCTTGTTATTCATATCAAGATCAATTACATCGATTTAATCTTTTTTTTATTCATTTTTTAAGATGGTTTAAATTTTAAATATAATAAAATCTTATGCTTAAGACACATTATTAATTTTCGCTTGTTTTTGCGAGTATTTTTATAGCCAATACTAAAACAAATCATATTTGGGAAATTGAGCAAGTGCGTGCTAAACATAGGTTACCTTATGAAGATCACAGGTGCGTATGATAAACACATACATATTTAAATGGACATTTTCGTGAAAATGATTTTTTTTTTCATTTGCAGTTTTGTTCGCAAAGGCAAAGTTGGCGGCTTTAAAGAAGAACTTTCTCCAGAGTTTATTTCCAGAGTAGATTCATGGATTAACAAACACTTGATGAGATACAATGTGACTCTGAATGATTTGTTGTTACTAAATGACTAAATATATGCAAATGAATCAACTCCAAAGGCTGGCTGGAATTTTTGCGAAGATTAAATTATAAAAATAGTGAATATGACTGCTTTGTTTATTTAGTAATAAAGGAAAGATTATTGTGAATGCATGCAAAAATTAATTGTTGTCTTTACGTCTTCAGACGCATAAATAAATTTGGGCGTTGCCAAATAGAAATTGTATGAATAATTATGCACTGGCTTGTGTGATCGTATTAGTTTACTATTCGTTAATTTCGTTGAATAATGGAATAAATGAAAACATGTATATTTTTTGGGTGGTACCTGTTAAAAATTAATTAAAGTAAACGAGAAAGGAATTTATCAATTGTAAATGACCTTGCATTATTGCAGAAATTTATATACATATGTATATATATATGCATTTTTTATACGGTTCTTTTTTACTCGATTTTCACATATTTCGGTTTTTCGATCCGTTCTTTTGTTGAATCCCTCTGGTCTGTTAAGTTGCGCGTTTAACATAGCTGATTAGCGTTAACATTTAAGTTGTTAAGTTGGGCTTTTAACTATTTATTTATTATAAGCGTCTCTGTGCCTTGCCTTTCAACAGGGAATTTAGCGAGGGCGTTGTTTAAAAATTATGACGGTTTAATTCTAAGCTGACTTGTAAAATAAAAGAAATTAAGAAATTTTATATGAAAACATACATTTATTAACAAAAAATATTGTAAAATGAAAGAAATTCAGAAATTTTATATGAAAACATACATTTATAAAAAAGAATAAAGAAACATTAGATACTGAATAAATTGTAGAATTTGTGAAATTGAATAAATTAAGAAACCTACATCACCGTTTTGCCGACGGCTTTTGCTTTTTTGGTCCGCTTTCTTAACACCGCCTTTAACATTTTAACATCTCTGTTTTTACGCGTTCACATTATTGTGTAGCGTTGTATTTTTGAAGGCATCTTTGTTTCTACACAAAAATGTTAGATACAGCAATACTTTACGTAAATTGACACGTACCAAATAGTGGATAACGGTCATTTACAAAAAATAAAAGATTATGTTTAGAAAGAGTTTGGAAGAAAATCTGTAAGAGAAACTGAAATTGCCAAGTTTTGTGTAAATCGCACTGAAGTGCAAATAACGTATTTATTTATGTTTAAATAAATTAAATAAAGAACTGTTGAATTCATATAACATTATATAAAATAAACGTAAGTACATTTGTTGCTGTGCAGCCACTTTAATTGGCTGTGGTGCTATGTTGTGACTCTCGTTAATGATGTCCGGAGCTACACCCGCGAATGTCTCTTAAAGCCATTGCCGTTAGGGTTATATTAATTGCAAACAATAGCAGGCACATTAACTCCTTTGCTCATAACTTGCGGTAATTGTCTCCTAGTTAAGCGGCAAAATTCGACTGTTAGTCGTTTAGAAACTTCTCAGCCTGCTGTATAAACTGCACCAAGCTTCTTTTCGAAATTCAATAAAAGTCTTTTTAACCAAGAGTAACGTTTATCAATTTTATCTAGCCAGGATATGCGTAGATTCTCATTGAACAATTTTAAGTATTGCAATTTATTAAGATGCAAACGTGGATGATTGTTGCTCTTTTTTCTGAGAAAACTTTGTTAAAATCTTTAGTTATCTATTGAGCCCAAGTTATTTGTATCTTTTCGAGACCTTGGGGTAAATTCTTAATCTCCTCGATATCAGAATATTGTTGAAAATGCTGATTCATTCCTGTGGTGACTTGCAAAAGATTTAAAAAAATTGTAGTGAAGTTAACAGCCACAAATTCAATGGTGAAATAGATTCGCATTTTGGATTATCCCCATTTCTTAGAATTTCTAATATACATAGGCTCCAAGAAATGCCCAAGCGAAAATGCTTTCGATTAAAAAACGTTGAGGCGTCAGTGACGCCAACAATAATTAACTAATTCTATTGCAATGTACTGTAATTGCACTTGAGCAATTTTTATCATTGTACCTACACCATCAGTGCCCATAGTTATAATAGGGTCCGTAAATGTTGTCGGAATTCCAGTCAAACGTTTGTCACTTTGTGTTTTATATGTTTCAATTTTATTTTAGTGAAATAATGAGTGGTCTGCTTGTTCGTTGAAAAAATGATTTATGTGTGCATTAGCCCGCAATAATTTAAGAATTAGTTGCGGGGAACTCTCTATCCGGTAAAGTGGTTTGGATCAGACTAACTTTAGCAGTGATCGGCAACGCGTTGTACACAGTGTCTGGTTAAGTCGGATCAATTTTCAATCCAAAATGCCTTTAAATGTCTCTATGATCACCATGTGAACTGGAACTGAAACTGATGTGCTTAAGAATTGAAGGGAACTTTGTTTTTCCTATTGTTTGTTGCGTAAAAAGAACTTATTGTAGACAAGTGAGAAAACTTTATTCAGTTGCGACCGAATCCTTTATAGCCATCACCGCTGTCCTATGAAAGATTTGAAAAAAGGAAAAATGTAAATTTGTAGTTTTTGAGCAAGGAGCAAAAGACACGGAAAGTAAATGTGTTCTCAGTTTTACAGGTGTACAGTCGTGTGGACGCTGTAGGCGTGCTCTTGGACGTGGTTGGACCAGTTTTAAACTCTTTTGTAAAATTGCGGACGATATTTTCTGTCTTGCGAATGCGAGAACTTGTACCACAAATACTACATAGTTTGGCAAACGGACAGATGGACAGACTAACATAGAGTGATTGCATTTCGCGCAGAAACAAGCTTTCCAGTTTACGTGGTACTGTAGGCGTAACCTTCGACCGGTTTGGTCCGTTTTCAATATCAATCTGCGCGCACGAACTTTTAATGTTTTAATGTTTCCGCCAAATTTGAAGTTGATAACTTAATTTTTGCGGCCAGGCGGGTGTTAACAACGGGCAATATACGCGGACAGACGGATATGCTTAAATCCATTCAAAATTTGATGCTGATGAAAAATATATATATACTTTGTGGAGTCTGTGGAGCTTCTTTTTGGGCGTCGCAAGTGTTTTGACCAAATGAATACATCCTCTTGCCGTTGGGTGATGGGCATGCACGTACGACAAATACGATAAGCGATATGTTAGCAGATCAAATAAATAAAATTATGAATGAAATTGACAGATTGAAATGCACAATAACAATTCGTAGAATTATGAGAGTATGGCAATCCTGAACCTCTTGCAAACTACCACCATCGTTACCGTTATTTACATTTTGGTCCATTTGCGGGTGGAGGAATGTAATTTTTCATCTTGACGAAGATGAAAAAGTAGAAAAGGGTGTCTCGCTTTCTTTTACACGAAATAAAAATTTTCTATCTATATTTCGATATATAAAAATTTATAAAACAAACTTGATTCGAACATCTAAAATTGTAAAACTGTTTAATTTCAAAGTGATTCGAACAGAAGTGTCTTTAAATAAAGCTTTTCTAATAACGAACATTGAACCATTTGTTTGAATGTTAAAAAAAGAAAAAAGAAGAAAATATATGTATGGAAAAAAAAAAAAACTCATCAACAGAGATCATTCATAAGATGAATAGTTAAATGAAATCGTTATTATATTCTTTTACATGTTTTGTTCGATTAGTTTAAAATAAGTTGAAATTAAAAAAAAAAAAAGAACAAATAGAAGAACATTTGTATAACAATTGCTTTCCCCACTCAAAATTTAATAAGTGAGTAAATAGGAAAAAAAAGAAAAGTTCTTCATGCCGTTTATATTTTTTCCTATATTTGTTATGTCTATTTTTTTTTTTCTCTTTTCTTTTAATTAATTGTTCATCGATAGATTCGCATAATTTTAATGTTCAATGCAACACATAGTGTCAACATATAGTATGAAACGACGTAGTGTGTGTGTATGTTGTTTTAGAATTTAATCGGTATTACAGGACACGTTAGTTAATTTTTTTTTTATGCTTCAGTATAAATATATGTATGCGTGTGTATGTGTACGTATGTATGTATACTAAGTGACGGGTTGTTGAAAATTTAAAATATATAAATTATATTATTTTATTTTATTATTATTATTATTTTTTTTTTTACTAAATTCCTACTGAGAATAGAAGGTCAAATGTGTCGAGAAAATCTGATGCGCGTTCTATCGTTTTTTGTGGATACGAGAGCTAAAGAAATATAAAATGAAAAATCAAAATAAAATGGAAAACGGAACTGAATAAGAGCGGCTAACTTCGGGCGTATTGCTCTACCGTTATATTGCTTTCATGCTTGTACGCATACCGTAAAATATACAACGACTAAAACAGTAAGTAATGAACTAACAAAATTGACATAGAAATGAAAGATATGAAGATATATGAATAAAGTAAAACGTAAAGGAAATTAAAGAAATGAACATCGCACAACAAAAGTGTATAGTAATAACTTATATTACATATAATCAAGTGACGGCTGTGATAAAACAAACATGAAATGAAGCAAGAAGAAGCACCTTAACGTATGATTTTTACGAGTTAATCTCTTCTATTGCAATTTTTGATGTAATAATAAACTGAGAAATCAAATAATTCAAAATATTCGCAGCTGCATTGCATTAATAAGTTTTGATGCTTTTATTGTCGAATCTGTTAACGAATCGAGAGGAGATAATCAAATGGCCGACCCTTTACGCGGGTTACGTTGAGACATGTCGTAATGGCAAGAGAGGTAAGAGCGAACATAAACCAATTCATTCAATGAAATTCAATTAAAAAAAAATGAATAATATTTCTTTAAAATTTTTCTCTTCTTCTTCAATATTTTTATACTCTACATCTGTTACGAAATCAGGGTATATTAAGTTTGTGCGAATGTTTGAAATATCCAGAAGGACTTGCGATAGCACTACATCGGTTTAATAAACCGATCGATTCAGAATCAGGTTTTGCAACGATCTAAGCTTGGCTGTCTGCCTGTCTGTCCATCTATTCGTCCGTCTATCTTTTGTCCTTTTTGTGTTGAACTGACAGGTCGCAATTTATGTTATATTTTGATGCATTCCGTCTAAAGCTTTATTTTGAAAAGTCGTTACATGAATAACATTAGCATTATGCGAGATGGTGTAGGGTATTTAATGGTAAGTCGTGGCCCACTGTAGCACTTCTACTTGTTTAAGCTTGACAATAAAGGACAGCAAGCAAAAATTTAAAATGTTTAGCTTGAAATGTGCAATAAATTTTGAAATTTTGATTAAAACTTTTGATTAAAACTAAAACCGCGAAGCAAGCGGTCTTATCTCTTGGCATATTTTGAATGTAATAGATAAATATTGAAAGAGAAATACTCAATATTTACTTTAAATTTTCGAAATACTTTTTGACGCATATTCATCGCGGTGTTTATTTAAGTTTTTCAGTCCATGTGTTTTGAATTAGTTTTGCTCTCTGAGTAAATTTCAAAAGCTACTAAATATTCTGTGTTATCATCTTGTTGTGTTATCATCTTGAAGGCAATTACATTAAACTTCAAATGTAAGTTTCTATTAATATCGCAAGGATGACCAGGGGAAGAGGAGTAAGTTTGCGAAAAACCTTTTAGTAGTAAAAGTCTCAGTACTTTATGCTAAGCAAAATTATAAGCATACGTTACGATGTCTCTGATTGTTGGGCGTTGAATTAAAATTTTACAATTTTTTTAAGCTAATTTCGTTCAAATGTTCCCTTCGCGGGGCTTTGAAGATTCCGAAAGTAGTGGCATTTAAAATTCATATTTTATTTGATTCCCTGATAGATGACATAAGAAGAATAAGAACAACTTATTGAAACAATCTTAAAGGAAGATTCGCTTTTTTTTATTTTGCTTGGCACGCTCATGTGGAATGTCTTGTTTATATTCACGGAATAAACAGTTTATTTAAATAATAACAGTAACAATTATTTACCGTCTTGACATCTGTAACTTTTCTCTTTACTTGCTAACGCAGTCAGAAACATTCTTCGTCTTAAGCACTTATAATGATGAGAGAATGATAACTATGTTCTATCATTAACATTTTAGAGATGCTTAGCATTTTACTTACAATGTATGTTAATTGTTGCAGATTCTGTTGCGCAATTTTAGGAAAACATAACAAAGTCTTGCATTGATCTGTAACGCTTCGTTTCGTGCTCTTAAAAAATGGTAAAAAACGCTCTTAAGGCCAAGACCTTTTCGCATTTTGGTGTTCACGTGTTTCGACTTTATGCCTGCTAAATGAATGTTGTATGTGTAGTAACAATTATACATATATATATACATATATATATATATATATATATATATATATAT